GGTGCCTCAGAGGACGTCGTCCATTGCCACTGCCCTTAACACCAGTGGGGCCGGAGGGGCCCGGCCGGCCCAGGCTGTCCGTGCCAGGTAGCACCCCAGGGGCAGCCGCGTGGGGGCCCGGGGCGTGGGGCGGGCCGTGCAGAGGGGAATCTGCTAGGCTACCTGCTTAGGGGCGGGCAGGCCCTCACCCCATCACCTCAGCGCCCCCGCCCCGCCCCCGGCACCCCTGTGCTCCCTCCACAGACCTCGCAGCAACTCCGCCTGGCAAATCTATCTGCAAAGGCGGGCCGAGCGGGGCTCCCCCAAGCCTCCGGGGCCCCCCGCTCAGCCCCCTGGCCCGCCCAACGCCTGTAGGTAATGGAGGTCTGCCCCCCACTCACTCCCATCCTCACTCCTGCCACCTGCTTCCCTCCCAGTGGTGGTTGCCTCTGCTGTGCAGCTCAGCACCTGCGGGGGCACCCGTTTTCCTGACCCGCCTCTTCCGCCTCCCCCCGCAGTAACCCCGACCTCAGGAGGAGCGACCCTGGCTGGGAGCGCTCGGAAGGCGCCCTCCCCTCGCACGGGCACCTGCCCCAGGCCGGCTCGCTGGAGCGGAACCGCGTGGGAGGTTCGGCAGCCTGCTCTGGGGCCGCGGCTGGGGGCCGGCGCCGCTGGGCTCGGGTCCGCCCGGAGCGAGCCGGTGTCATGACCGCCCTCCTCCCCCCTGCCTCACACAGCCTCCTCCAAGCTGGATAGCTCCCCAGTGCTGTCCCCCGGGCACAAGGCCAAGCCTGACGACCACCGCTCCCGGCCAGGCCGGCCCGCAGTAAGTGGGCAGCGGCAGCTGCGGGCGGGGGCGTCTCCTGGGGGGGGAGCTTGGGGCCTCAGCAGCCCCTGGGAGCCCGGCCGGGGCCGCCTCAGTCCTGGTGCGAAGGGGCCGCGGGCTGCACTTCTCAGCTACTGACCTTTCTTCCCGTCTCTCCTGCCTCCTGGCTGCCCCGCTTCCCCCGCCGCCCCTCCCAGAGCTATAAGCGCGCCATCGGCGAGGTTAGTGACAGAGGCCGCTCCGAGCCTCTGCTGCCTGCACCCCCACCCCGGCACCCCTGGGCCCGGCCACTCCCCTCCTCACGCGCTGCACCCGCTCCTCCCCCCGCAGGATTTTGTGCTGCTGAAGGAGCGGGCCCTAGACGAGGCCCCGCGGCCTCCCAAGAAGGCCATGGACTACTCGTCGTCCAGCGAGGAGGTGGAGAGCAGCGAGGACGAGGAGGAGAGCAACGGCGAGCCCTCGGAGGGGAGCAGAGGTGCCCCCGGTGCCCGGTGAGGGGCGCGCCGGTGGGGGGCAGGGCTCTCCTCTTCCTAGCCTGGGGGGCCCTGGCTGTCCCCGCTGAGCTAGGGAACGCGCTCGGGCCGGTGACGCCCCCGTGGCGGGCCGGGCCCGGGGGCTGACGGCCGTCCTCTCTCCTGTGGCAGCGACGGAGACACGGACAGCGTCAGCACCATGGTGGTCCACGACGTGGAGCAGGTAGCCGGGACCCAGACCCCCTACGGGGGCGGCACCATGGTGGTCCAGCGCGTGAGTGGGCCCCTCCTCCGCCCGGCCCGGCCCCCTTCCCTCTGCCCCTGCGGACCCCTCGGCCCGGCACCGGCCCCCGTCTTTCTGCCCCTGCAGACTCCCGAGGAAGAGCGCGGCCTGCTGCACGCGGACAGTAACGGCTACACCAACCTGCCCGACGTGGTCCAGCCCAGCCACTCGCCCACCGAGAGCGGCAAAGGCCAAAGCCCCCCGTCCAAGGACGGAGGCAGCGATGTGAGTGGGCAGGTGCAGACCCCTGGGGCAGTGGGGCGGGGGGCTCCGGGGGCCGGGTCTCTGGTGCCTGCCTGACTGCTGCTCCGCTCTCTCCGCGCAGTACCAGTCTCGGGGGCTGGTGAAGGCTCCTGGCAAGAGCTCGTTCACGATGTTTGTGGACCTCGGGCTCTACCAGCCCGGAGGCAGTGGGGACACCATCCCCATCACAGGTGAGCACGAGGGCAGACGCGCCCCGAGGCCCGGGAGACCCACGAGGAAAGATGCGCGGGTGGCCCGGGGCACCTGACTGACTGAGGATTTCTCTGCTCTTATTTGCGCCCTTCCGTGGGCCACCTCTCTCTACCCTTCCCCTTCCCTGCTGGGGGTTCAGAAGAGCCTCCACCGGATGTAGGGCTGGGTCCAGGGGGGTTGGGCTGGGGCTGCAGCCCTCCCCTCCCCCTTTCCTCTTCCCACAGCCCTGGTGGGGGGAGAGGGCGGTCGGCTGGACCAGCTCCAGTACGACGTGCGGAAAGGCTCCGTGGTCAATGTGAACCCCACCAACACCCGGGCCCACAGCGAGACGCCCGAGATCCGGAAATACAAGAAGCGATTCAATTCCGAGATCCTCTGTGCGGCCCTTTGGGGTAAGCCAGCGCGGGGAGGGAAGGGGGGTCCTGCGTGCCCCGGCGCTCCCGGTCGGTGAGGGCCTGGCTGCCTCTCAGCCACCCCCGGGCTCGCGTTGCAGGCGTCAACCTGCTGGTGGGCACGGAGAACGGTCTGATGCTGCTGGACCGGAGCGGGCAGGGCAAGGTCTACGGGCTCATCGGGCGGCGGCGCTTCCAGCAGATGGACGTGCTGGAGGGGCTCAACCTGCTCATCACCATCTCAGGTGCGCGGGGCGGGGCCTGGGCTCCTGGGGGCCACCTGCAGCCTGGGAGGTGGGGCCGCGATTTCTCAGCCCCTGGGGGGCTGGGGGGGGGGCAGGTGAGGGATGGCAGGGACCGCTGGTGAGGGGGGTGTGTGTCTGCCCGTCAGGGAAAAGGAACAAACTGCGGGTGTATTACCTGTCCTGGCTCCGGAACAAGATTCTGCACAACGACCCAGAAGTGGAGAAGAAGCAGGGCTGGACCACAGTGGGCGACATGGAGGGCTGCGGGCACTACCGCGTGGGTGAGGAGGGCTCCACGTGGTGGCCAGGGCGCGAGTCGCTTTATGAGAAGATGGAAACGGGGGGCTGAGCTTAGTGCCTGAGCGTCGAAAGCGGAGGCTGGGCAACTGGGTTTGGGGTTTGGTGACCGACCCTGGGACCCTCTTCCCTGCCCCCAGTGAAATACGAGCGCATTAAGTTCCTGGTCATCGCCCTGAAGAGCTCCGTGGAGGTTTACGCCTGGGCCCCCAAGCCCTACCACAAGTTCATGGCCTTCAAGGTAGTCTGGGCCGCAGCCCCTCCGCCCACCTGACACCGGCCCACGGTCCCCCCCCACCCCTGCGTCCCTGAGCCCCTCTCTTTCCACAGTCCTTTGCCGACCTCCCTCACCGCCCTCTGCTGGTCGACCTGACCGTGGAGGAGGGTCAGCGGCTCAAGGTCATCTATGGCTCCAGCGCCGGTTTCCACGCTGTGGACGTCGACTCGGGGAACAGCTACGACATCTACATCCCCGTGCACGTAAGCGTCGCGGGGGTTTCGGGCAGAGCGCGACCGCCACCCGGGGCTCTGGACCCGCAGGTGACAGCGGTGCTCTCGCCCCCAGATCCAGAGCCAGATCACGCCGCACGCCATCATCTTCCTCCCCAACACCGACGGCATGGAGATGCTGCTGTGCTACGAGGACGAGGGCGTGTACGTGAACACGTACGGCCGCATCATCAAGGACGTGGTGCTGCAGTGGGGAGAGATGCCCACCTCTGTGGGTGAGTGCGCCCCGCCCCGGGCTGCCCCCCGCCTGCCGGGCTGCCGCCCACTCACTGCCACCTGCCGCCCTTCCCCCCCCCCAGCCTACATCTGCTCCAACCAGATCATGGGCTGGGGCGAGAAAGCCATCGAGATCCGCTCCGTGGAGACGGGTCACCTGGACGGTGTCTTCATGCACAAACGAGCCCAGAGGCTGAAGTTCCTGTGTGAGCGGAACGACAAGGTGGGAGGCCCTGGCAGGAGAGGGGAGTGGCCATGGGGTCTTCGGGGTGTTGGGCGGTCACAGCCCGCATCACAGCCTGGCTTTCCTCGTCCTCCATCCCTGAGAGCTCCCCGGACTCCCTGGGGGCCTGCGGCTGCTCTCCCCGCCGCCCGCAATCCCCAAGCGCCTCTGCCTTTCTCAGGGAGGGGGCCCCACCCCCTAAGAGACGACACGCTGCAGTTCGTCTCTCGCTGTGTCCCTGCTGAGACCCCCACCCCGGGCCCCGGTGACTTCTCCTACCCCCTCCAGGTGTTCTTCGCCTCTGTCCGCTCCGGGGGCAGCAGCCAGGTTTACTTCATGACCCTGAACCGCAACTGCATCATGAACTGGTGACGGGGCCCGGCTCTCCCCACCGCAGCCAGACTCCCCAGGCCGCCCTTCTCTCCCTTCCCTGGGCTTTTGCTTTTTACTGGTTTGATTCACTGGAGTCTGCTGGGAACGTGACCTCTGACCCCTGATGCTTTTGTGATCACGTGACCATCCTCTTCCCCGTTAGGTTTTCCCCTCCCCCACCCCCACCCCCCAAACCTGTGCCTGTCCCAGCTTCTGGGGAGACGCACAGCTTCCCCTCACCAGGAACTGAGTGGGCCTCACCCCACCCCCTTTTCTCCACTTCAGAGGAGAGTGCTGGGGCTCCGGGTCCCCCACTGCTGCTGACTCGGCAGGGCCCTGGGCCCCTTCATTTGCACGTCAGGGGAGCCGGCTCCCCCCTTGAATGTACCAGACCCTGGGGGGGGTCGCTGGGCCCTAGGTTTTGGGGGGGTCACCAGCCACTCCAGGGGCGGGGACCATTTCCTCATTTTCTGAAAGCACTTTAATGATTCCCCTTCCCCCAAACCCCAGGGAATGGAGGGGGGACCCGCCAGCCAAAACATTACCCCCTTTCCAACCCCATTTCTTTTGAGCCCCTGTCCTCCCTTGGTGGCAGGAGGGAGCAGGGAGCTCCCCCCACTTTGCACCCCCTTGCTTGCCTCTGTACATAGTGTGAGCAGCAAGTAGCCCCGGCCCCCTCTCCTCAGTGTAGTGGCCTTGGATATTCCGTTTGTTAATAAAGACAGTTCAACCAGCTCCCACCATCTCGGGCCCATTTTATTCTTCTTTCCAGGTCCTGGACACCAGCCGGAAGGGGGGGCGGTGGAGGGGTAGAAGCTCCCTTGAGTGGGTTTTGGTGGAAGCGGTCAGGAGGGCCATGCTGGGTCAATAAGCCAGAAGTGACTGAGCGTGTCCCCAAGGCAGCCTTGTCACTGGACCTTTACTGAGGGCATCTGGCCCCTGTGCCCTCCTACAGGGAAGGGCCTGGCTTCCGGCACATCCTGCAGCGGGGGTTTCCCGCTTCCTCTCTTGGGTCATGATAAAGACCAGCTCACAGGGCTGGGGGGCCACGGGGGACGAGGGCCTCAGAAGGCTGAACAGAGGGGCGGCGAGGGCTCCCGACGACTGGCATCCGGGAGCCCGCCTGAACCGTGTGCCCTCTGCCCTGCCCCCTGCACGGGGGCCAGACCCACGCGTGTGCACACAAGACTCCCTGACGAGGCAGCAAGGCACGGCTTCGTCCTCGGCGGTGGCAGCAGCTCGCATTGCAGGACAGGTCCCCCCTCCCGCAGGCGGGGTAAGAGCTGCCTACATACACGGCGGGTAGGGCAGCTCGGGCACTCGATTCAAGTAGCCCCCCAGGAAGATGAGGCCGGAGCCCACGCTGAAGAGCACCAGGGCAGCCCAGAAGCAGACGTTGTCAAGGGCCTTCCCCATGCGCACCCAGTCGGACACCTCCTGGGGGCGGGGGGGGGGGGGAAAGACCGGCACGAGCTGGGTCCGGGAAGGGGGGGGCCACCTCCGAGCGAGCCCCCCGACCTCCCCTCCCGTGCCTGCCGCACCTCGCCGGAGGCCTCCTGCTGTCGAGTGCTCTCGGCCACGAAGTTCACGGCGTCCACGCAGCAGCGGACCTCAGGGGCGGCGGCGCCCAGGCTCTGGCAGAGGGCGGCTGGAGGGGACGCCCGGGGCGGGAGCTGGTCACCGGGGAGCCCGCCCCGCCGCGCGCGCCCGCGCCGACCCTCCCGGAGATCTCCGCTCACCGGCCCCGGGCCCGTGCCGGTGCCTCTGCCCCTCAAACACGAGCTCGCTCCGCGGCTTTTTCAGGATCAGCTCCTCGGCGCGGAGCAGCAGGCCCACGGACGACGCGCGCCGGGGCGGGGAGGCGGCCCGCGGGGCCTCGGGCGGCGCGCAGGAGCCCAGGAGGCGCGGCAGCAGCTCCAGCAAGACCTGGCGGCGGGGGCGGGGCGAGCTCGAGGCCCCGCCCCGCCGGAGTCGCCCCGCCCCCGGGCCGCCCGCCCCGCCCCGCCCCGCCCCGCCCTTACGTGGCGCAGCCGCGGAGACACGACGTGCGTGGTGGGCGTCCGCAGAGACAAGTTGAGCACAATGACGCAATTCATGACGATGATCGTGGCGACCACCATGACGAAGATGAGGTACCTGCGAAGCCCGCCGCGCGTGACCCCGCTGCCGCCCGCGGCCCGGCCTGTGACCTCACAAACGACCCTCCCCGGCGGCGGCGGCGGCGGACGTGTGCCCCGGGGGCCCTCCTTCCGCCGGCGGCGGCCATGAAGGGGACCCCCAGCTCCCTGGAGACCCTGCTGTGGGTCTACCGCTTCCACAGCTCCACGGAGGTGAGGCTGCGGTCCAGGGCCGGCCGCCCGAGGGCGCGGGAGGTCCCCGGCGCCCCCCGTGAGCCGACGGCCCCGCCGCCCCTGCTCCTCCTCCAGGTGGCCCTGCAGCCCCCGCTGCTGTCGTCCCTGGAGCTCACGGTGGCCGCGGCCCACCAGTATCTGGAGCAGAGGTTCAGGGAGCTCGAGTCCCTGGAGCCGCAGGGGCCGCCCGCCCCGAAGCCCACTCTGGGGCTGGTGCTGAGAGAAGCCGCGGCCAGCATCCTGAGCTTCGGCGCCACCTTGTTCGAGGTGGGGCGCGGGGGGGTGCGTGGGGGCTGCGGAAGGGCGGCGGGGAAGGGGGACAGGAGCCCCGCATCCCCACCAACCCTGCACCCTCCTCCCCCGCCCCGCCCCCCGGCAGATCTCCGCCCTGTGGCTGCAGCAGGAGGTGCGGCGGCTGGATGGCGGCGCCGGCAGCCCGGGCCCAGCACGGGGCGCCGGGGATCCGGGCGGAGCGCTGACGCGGGTAGCCCGGGCCGCGGGGCTGGGGGCGCGGCGCGCGGGGGCAGTGGCGGGCACGAGCGTCCGGCTCGCGCTGCAGGCGACGGGGCTGTGCCTGTGCGGGCGGGGCCTGCAGGGGTCCCCCTCCCTCCAGCAGTGGCGACGCCAGCTGGGCCTCGAGACCACCGGGGGACAGGTGAGTTCGGGGGGCGGGGAGGGGGCGGGGAGGGGGCGGGGAGGGGGCGGGGAGGGGGCGGGGAGGGGGCGGGGAGAGGCACTGAGCCCACCCGCCCCCGACAGAGCTACTCGGGAGATCTCCGGGTGGCGTCCAGCGGCAGCGCGGAGACCGGGGGACCTGAGAACTCACCGCTTCCCCAGCCCCGCCCCGCGTTCCAATAAAGCCCAGACTGGACCCGACCCGGAGCAGCTCCCAGTGTCGCGTGCCCATGGCCGCGCCCCGGCCCCGCCCCCGCCCTCCAGCCCCGCGCGCGCGTGGGCCCCTCCGCGACCCTCTGCGGTCACCTGCCCAGCATCGGCACGCTCAGCGACGTCTCGGGGGTTTTCTGGGCGATCAGGAACAGGAAGACCGTCTGCGCCAGTAGGACGTTGATGGACACGGTGCACTTCTGGCCGCCGGCTGGGGGGAGGGGCCGGTGAGAGCGGGTCGCGCCCCCGGCAGCGAGCCCGGGGTCAGGGTCCCGGCGGCCCCTCACCCTGTGCCGGCAGGAAGTAGGCGAGTAGCACCAGGCCGGAGATGAGCACGCAGGGCACGATGATGTTGATGACGTAGAAGAGCGGCTTCCGGCGGATGATGAGCGTGTAGATGACGTCGATGCTGCCCGGGTCGTCCCCGGAGCCCCGGTGGTGATGGATCAGCCCGGGGCAGAAGTCGATGGCCCACTCGCCGTTTTCTGCGGGGCGGGGGGCGGGGGGCGGGGTCAGCCCTCGTGGGGCCCACACCTGCCTGAGGCCCCGTGGCTTCCGGGCGGAGGGGATCGAGGGGGCGGAGGGGATCGAGGGGGCCGAGGGGGCCGAGGGGATCGAGGGGGCCGAGGGGATCGAGGGGGCCGAGGGGGGAGGGTGCGGAGGCGGCTCGGGCTGGAGCGCCCCTCCCGGTGCCAGTGCACAGCGGCCGCAGGCGAGGAAGCCGTTCCGGGCTGACCGCCGAGGGTAGTTTCGGGAGGGGTTAAGGTCAAGCCAGGCTGCCAAACCCAAGCCCGTGTCAGCGCCCCGGGGCAGCCAGCTTGGCAAGTGTCCCCTGTCCCGGGCGGTGTAGAGGCAGGTTTTCGGAGCAGAAAGGGGGCTCACCCGTGTAGGCCTCGGTGTCGATGTCGATCTTGCTGATGGTCTCGCCGGCGTCGTCCGCGGCGAAGACGAACTCCACCTCGTGGGCGTTGTACGTCTGCGAGCTGAGGAAGGAGGGCCCCGCCGGCAGGGACCCGGGTTGCTGGGACCCGGCCTGGCCGGCCGCCCCCAGCCCCGGTCCCCGCAGCCCCGGAACCGCCCCCGGCTCTGAGCGTCTCTCCCACCGGAAGACTAGGGAGCAGTTCTGCCAGTCGAAGGGGAAGTAGGTGACCTCCACGGCGCAGCTGCTGCGGTAGATGGCGGGGGGCAGCCAGCTCACGTAGCCGCCCTCGTAGACCAGCACGTTGGCGTCATAGGCCACTCCGAACTGGCCGTCGATGCTGTGGGCTCCGGAAATGCGGCATTTGTGCGGGGCCGGGACCCCCCTCGCCCTCCCAGCCACCCCCTGCCCTGGCCCAGCGCCCCGGCCTCACCACCCCCAGCGCGCCGGCGCTCACTTGTTTTCCAGCACAATCTCCGGCAGCCACACGAGCTCCGAAGGGACCCGCAAGGTCTCTATGCCACCGAAGTCCTCCTTGCTGAAATTGAGTCTGTAATCCTGCCAGTCCTGAGGGGTGGGGACGGAGGGAGAGCGCCAGGTGCCCGCGGGGGTTGGGGAGAGGGGTCCCCGCTCCAGGCCTCACCCCACCCCCCGGATCGGACTCACGATTCCAATCCAGACACTGGTGGTGAGCGTCTCTTCTTTCTCGTTCTGTAGGTGGGGACCAGGGCGGTCGGCCGGGGCCGCGGGCGCGCGCACAGGAATTGGGGGCTCAGGCGGGGGTAAACCTTACTAGTGAGATGAGGTTGGTCAGGGTGACCTTGAGGGTGATAGTGACAGTGTCTTCAGGCTCCTTTACCGGCCGGCGTTCTGGGTCATAGTTGTCGAAGAGATGGTGGTACAGACGCAGTTCCTCGTTCTTCCCGTCACCGCCACCTGGGGAGGAGGTCGGGTGGGCTCACTGCGGAGAAGGGGGGCTTCCTCCGCCTCGGGCCCCTGTGTCTGCCTGTGAGGCTCTGTGATTTCCTCGCCTGCTGGACCAGATACTGAGCTTGGGGGCCAAATATCGGGCCTCAGCCTCCTTCTCGTCCCCTCTGTCACTGTCCCAGTGCCTGTGTCCCCCCCCCCTTACCGAGGAGCTGCAGGAGGAGCAGGGCACCGAGCAGGGGCCCCGCCATCCCGCCGTCTGGTCCCCAGGTTATTCTGAGCTCTGAGGCCAGGGCGCCGGAGGGAGGAAGGGGAGGTGTTAGTTCCGGGCTGGGTTAGGGGACTGTCACCTAATCCCCCCCTGTCCCCGCCGGCGCTGCTGCTGCAGCCAGAGATGACTTGGCTGCTTCCAGAGACAGCTGCCCCTTCCCAGCATCCTCTGCCTGGTGGGCGGCCAGCTCGTGGCCCCGGCCCGAGCCTCTTGACTCAGAAGGCCAGCGCAGGTGGGGGCCCTTTAGGAGCACCTGGAACCACAGACCTGGCGGTGGGGGGCGGGGTAACCCTGCGCTGAGTCCCTGGAGTAAGTTGCCTGTGCCGGTGACACCTCTGGCCTCCTTCACGAGCGTGGAACACACACGTTGTCGCCACGTACACCGCCCGGCCAGGGTCACACTGATGTAGTTTCTGCCTGCGGTTTGGCAAAGTCCCGGCGAAGATGTGGGAAGGAGGCAGGCGGCCTCGGGATTACTCAGCAGTAACGGACCTAAACCCAGGTGGGCCCGCGCCCAGCGCCTAGACTCTGCACCTGCCAGAGTCGCGGGGGTCTCCTTTCCCTACCTGCTGCCACCTCGTGGCCGCAGCTGGTAATACATGCGGTCTTCCCAGCCCAAACTCCTTTTTTTTTTTAATATTTAATTTTTGAGAGACAGAGAGCACAGGCAGGGGAGGGGCAGAGAGAGAGGGAGACACAGAGTCCGAAGCAGACTCCAGGCGCGGAGCTCTCAGCACAGAGCGTGATGTGGGGCTTGAACCCACAAACCTCAAAATCATGTGAGCGATATCAGACCCTTAACCCACTGAGTCACCCAGGGGCCCTCCCCACCCCCCAAAACACTACGGATTTAGTGTTTCTCCTAAAGTCTCCTTGGACCAGCCTCATCATCCGAGGGGCTTGCTTACAATTCACTTACCAGCTTCCGTCCCTAAAGAACCCGCTTTGGGAGGATGCAGAGATGGCGAGCCGGGAACTAGGTGGGTTTTGGTTGCTCCTTTTTTTTTTTTTTTTTTTTTTTTTTTTTTTTTTTTTTTCCCGTGGTAGGGGTGCTGCGTCTTCCCTGCCGCTTCCTCGCAGTGGTGCAGGACAGCGGTCACCGTGGGGCCGAAACCGGGCTCCGCCAGGCCCACGGTCACGCAGGGGGAGGGAACGGCAGTGACACGGGATCCATCACGCGGCGTTACTGACGGACACCTGTGTTGACAGAACACTTTCACGCCCGTCATTTTGGGGTCTCCTCCCTCCACTGCTGAGGGTCCGCCAGCTCGGCCGCTTCCCACACATCCCGCAGGCCGCGGCTGACACGGTCCTTACCGTCCGCGGGGCCCAGCCCCCTCCCCCCCCCGGGCCGTGTTGGGCCCCCGCCTGCCCCCCTGCACAGGCCCATGGGCTGCCTCACATCTGTGCTGCTGCTCGGCCTGCGCCAAGCGTCCGGACAAGGCCGAGATCGCTCCGGGCGGTAACGGGCACCACGATGCCCCCCGCTCCGGGCCAGCAGCTCCGATGCCAGACGCGAGTAAACCATGGCCTCAGGGAGGGACACAGCTGCCGCTGGTGACGCCAGAACGGCCCGAGGGTGAAGAGCAAGGGCCATGGGGCACCTGGGGGAGCCTCTCACTTGATTTCGGCTCAGGGCGTGATCTCGTGGCTCACGGGTTCGAGCCCCACGCTGGGCTCCGCACTGACAGCGGGGCCTCCTTGGGATCCTCCCTGGCTCTTTTCCTTCTCCTTCCCTGCTGTCTCTCAGGGTAAATAAACTTTATGCAAATATATACAGATAATGAAAACAATAATTTTTTTAAGTTCATGCATTTAGGGGCACCTGGGGGGCTCAGTCGGCTGAGCGTCTGACTTCGGCTCAGGTCATGATCTCACGGTTCGTGGGTTCGAGCCCCGCGACGGGCTCTGTGCTGACAGCTCAGAGCCTGGAGCTGCTTCGGATTCTGTGCCTCCCTCTCCCTCCGCCCCTCCCCTGCTCACCCTCTGTCTCTCTCTCTCTCTCAAAAATAAACATTAAAAAATTTTGTGCATTAAAAAAAAATCTGTTGGTGCCTTTTGCCTTGTCGTTCTCCACAAAAGCGCGTGGCCCACGGACGCCCCCAGGCGGGCAGCTCGAGGACGCTGGTGTCCCTCACGCCGTCCCCAGGACAGAAGACCCTCAAACTTAGAAAATTTTTTGCCAAACCAATAGGCAAAACCTGCTATTCACTAATTTGATTTACGTGCTTTTTTTCTTTTCTTGGTTCCCGATACGTGAGAATCGGCCATACGATGAGGGTAGAATGTACCGTGAATGTAGACAAGTGAGGCTTCGTCACATAAGCCCCGCCGGGACGACTGGAAACGCCATCACCGAAATTACCAGCAGCCCCTCAGCTGGCGCCGGCTGGGGCGGGTGCCGGAGGGTCAGACATCTGCAGGTAAAATGAAACCAAGAAAGTCCTATAGGCATTTGTCACCTCGGAGCGAGGGCGGCCTTTCTCCCCTTCCCTGAAGCCCCAAATCAGAGACCATAAAGAAAAAGAAAATTGCATGTCGGGTCAAAAATACAAAACCGCAGGCCGGCAGAGACAAGCCCGGAGAAGAGCCCCTCAGCCCAGCGGCTCGCCTCTGCCCACACAGAGCTGCCCGAAGCCACAGGAGGCTGGGACGTGCTGGAATCCCTGGGCCGCTGGGTCCTCCCCCCAAGTGTAAAGTCACCGACGGGGGGTGGGGGGCTCCTAGCTGGGAGACAAGGTGGGGAGGGGGGCGCTGGTGGGGAAAGGGACGGGCAGATCAGAGCAGAAAGAGATGAAGGTGGTAAAGATTAAAAAAAAAAAAAAAACTTAGGGACGCCTGGGTGGCTTGGTTGGTTGGGCGTCCGACTTCGGCTCGGATCATGATCTCGCGGTTCGTGGGTTCAAGCCCCGCGTCGGGCTCTGTGCTGACAGCTCGGAGCCTGGAGCCTGTTTCAGATTCTGTGTCTCCCTCTCTCTCTGACCCTCCCCTGCTCACACTGTCTCTCTCTCTCTCAGAAACAAATAAAACATTTAGAAAAATTTAAAAAAAAACCTTCAAAAGGGGGGCGCTGAAACGAGGGAGAGAGAGATGTCAGGGGTGGGGGTGAGAGGAAAGGAAGTGGAGGGGTGACTCAACATGTCCCTGGGGTCCCCCAAGCCCAGGGGGCGGCGTGCTCCCTCCCCAGCAGGCGACCTCTTTACTCCCTTGGCTACAGAAGGAAACCGAAGTCCTCGGGACTTACTGGCGCAGGAGAGAAGCGGGTCCCTGGGGGTTTCTGGGCGCCCCGTCCCCGGAGAGCTCGGATCCGCTTCTCCCTTGAGAACAGAGGAGACGGGAAGGTGACCCGGGAAGGCAAACCTCGGCATCAGCCAAACACACACAGGACATTCCAGGGAAGTTTCTCGGGCGCCGTGGGCTCGGCCTCAGAGAGAGAAGGTGGTGCGGCTTGTAGATAGATTCTGCCACGAAGATTCCGCTGATGATTCTGGAAGGCCGGGAGAAAACAATTCAGACTCAGAGCAAAACCCCCAGCCGAGAACTCCGGGCTGAAGCCACGATCTGCGATCTGGGAGCAGTAAGGCTGCCAGAAACAGTTATAAAATGTTACCGGTTAGATCCAGGGATTGTACCCCGGCTCTTACTGACTTTGGATCCTCCTGGTATTAACACAGAGCATCTATACGATTCATATTGAAAGTAAGTGGGGCTGCAAGTTGTTTTTTTTGGTTTCTGTGTTTTTTTAAAGCAAGCCGGAGCAGACAAGGCATAGCCACTGTGGAAAGTGGACGACCTCCCGCAGGGCAAAGCGAGCATTTCCGCTCCCGTCCTAGGCGTTTATCCGAGAGCCAGGAGGCGCACTGTGCAAACGTGCTGCACGCACACCCGATCGCTGGTCGGTTGTCTGGCCGGACCGGCCAGCAAGGGGCACGAGGGGACTGACGGACATGCTGGTCGTCTCCACAGTCTCCTGGATTAGCTCCATAACCCACACTTACCTGAGGGATATGCTGGTCAGCACTCACGAGACCGGACACCTAAGATCGGTGTATTTCTCGGTGTATAAATCACTACTCAGTTTTTAGGGGTGCCTGCGTGGCAAGTGGGAGGGGGGTATCTGACTCTTGATTTCGGCTCAGGTCGTGATCTCACAGTTGGTGAGTTCAAGCCCTGTGTCGGGAGCTAGGCTAACAGTACGAAGCCTGCTTGAGATTCTCTCTCTTTTTTAATTTTTTATGTCTTTATTTTGAGAGACAGAGACAGAGGGCGAGCGGGGGAGGGGCAGAGAGAGAGGGAGACACAGAACGTGAAACAGGCTCCAGGCTCCGAGCTGTCAGCACAGAGCCCGACGCGGGGCTCGAACCCATGGACTGTGAGATCATGACCTGAGCCCAAGTCAGACACTTAACCGACTGAGCCCCCTACCCCACCCCTCCCTCTCTCTCCCCCTTTCTCTGCCCCTCCCCTGCTCACGCTCTCTCTTTCTCAAAATAAATGAACTTACAAACAAAAGAACAGAACTATTTATCATGAATGCTTCTCCTGCCAATACTCTATTCTAAATTAGTGATGGCAAAATATTAGCATGTCACTGACTGTTAAGGATTCAGTTCTGCTCTTTTGCACCAAAGCAACATAAAGGCAGATACATTCACACCCGTCAGGGCTGGTAACACCATCATATCTTTGAAGCTGTCTTTGTATTCGTTGAATTATATTACATGTCACGTTTTGATTAAATGTGACCAGTTTTTACAGAAGACATCTATTTCTCTGATCATTTGATCCTGTCCTTTTTTTTGAAAAAAGATTTTATTTTTTTAATGTTTAATTATTTTACAGAGAGAGCAAGACCGAGGACCTGAACAGGGCTTTGCACTGACAGCAGTGAGCCCAACGTGGGGCTTGAACTCATGAACTGCGAGATCATGACTCAACCCAAAGTTGGACGCTCAACCGAATGAGCCCCCCAGGTGTCCTTAAAGATTTTATATTTAAGTCTTCTCTACACCCAACATGGGGCACAGACTCACGTCCCCAAGATCAAAAGTCGCCCGCTCTGCCAACTGAGCCAGCTGGACCCCC